ATAAAAAATTAAATAATAAATATATTAAATAAATTAAAAAAAAAATTTAAATAATAATAAAAATAAAATAATTATAAATTTTAATATAAAAAAAATTAATTATAATAATTATATTAAACTTATAAAAACGTAAATTTTTTTATAAATAATATTATTATATAACGTTATATATTAATATATATATTTTAATATATTATTAATATTAAATAATATTTTATTAAATTTTAAATAATCTTAAAATCTAAAAAAAATATTATTAATCTATATATATTATACCATATAACAACCTTACACGGTCCACATTACTACCTAAATCCAAATTTTATCCATAGAAAAAGTGGAACGAATAGAAGGCATCGACGGGCCTGATACACTAGGAGTTGAACCTAAACTTCTATTTGTTCCCACCCTCCAGTGTCGTTCGCAACCTCGAACTCTCTACATATTATGTAATGTTTCAAGGCCAAGATGTTCTTCACCTCATACTTGTGCTTATTAACACTCACCCTATGTTGGTTGCAACCCCGCCGACTCTTACCAGCAAAATCAAACATGCGGCACAATCGTGTCTGCTGACTTTGCCTGCCCCGGCACCCCCCTTCTGCCCCCTGCTTACAAGGGGACCTCTTGTACTTACGTAAACCTCCAGGCATAATTACCCTTTCCAGAGGCGTATCTTTTCACTATGAACACAATCACGGTATCTTGCAATCGAGTTTATTTTGCGACTCATCGTTTATTAGGCTAGCAACGGCCCGATATACAAACTACCTAGTCTTGCTTTACTACTAACACATAGATATTTCCGCTTATCTCTCTCTCTGCCAAAAAAGAAAAATCCAAACCAGACTTTCAAAGATCTTCCCCAGCTCAGGGTGCCGTGACATAACTAACTAGCTTGCTAGCTAGCTTGCTAAACTTAAGCCCTGACCAAGGTGAGGCCGTAGGTGGACAGGATCTCGTTGACGGGCTGGAAGTAGGTGACGCCGCCGATGGTGCAGTCGCCGGAGCCGCCGGAGGTGACGCCCTGGGCCTGGGCGCCGGTGTAGAAGGACCCGCCGGAGTCGCCGGGCTCGGCGCACACGCTGGTCTGGGTGAGGCCGGTGACGCGTCCCTCGGCGTAGGTGACGGTGGCGCCGAGGGCGCGCACGGTGCCGCAGTGGACGCCGGAGGTGGAGCCCGAGCGGCAGATGCTGGCGCCCGTGGCCGACGCGGTGCTGCCCGACACGGGCAGGTTGCCGGAGCCGTAGCCGTCGATGTAGCCGCTGAGCGTGGTGCCGCTGACGGTGCGGATGTAGCTCATGTCGGCGCTGCCGGGGAAGACAGAGCCAGAGAAGGTTCCGAGCGACGCGCCGCTGCTGGTGGTAGCGGAGCTACCCGCGGTACCGCAGTGGCCGGCCGAGACGAAACCGGTGGTGACAGAGAAGCCGACGGAGCATCGGGCAACGCGGTCGATGATGTAGGCGTCGCCGCCGAGGACCGTGGCGAAGGTGGTCGGCATCGCGTCAACGGTGCGCACCTCGAACTCAGATGCGACGAGCCCGACCTGAGCGGCCAGGTCCTCGGCGTGAGCGGTGCTGCCGGCGAGGGCCTCGATGACGAGCTTGTTGGCGGTGACGTCGACGTAGTACGCCGCGATGCCAGTCTCGGCAGCGTCCGTGGAGAGGGTCTTGGGCTGCTCGATGTCCATGTTGTCAAGGGCCAGCTTAGCCTGTTCAAGCTTGGAGAAGCTGTTGGCGACGACAGCCGGGGTGGCGCCAGCGGCGCTCACCTCGGCGGCCAAGGCTTGGTCGGTGACGGCGACGTTGAGGGTGGTGCCGTCCTCGGCGATCCAAGCGCCGGCGAATGAGTCGCCCGCCGACGTTTTCAGCTGCTCGATGACGTCGCTGGCCCAGAGGTCCCTGGCGACACGGGCAGTGGCCTGGTCGGCGTCAAGCCCCAAGTCGCGCTTCATGGCGGCTAGGAGCTTAGGGTGGAGGCTGTTCGAAGCCTGGGTGGGGGCACCATAGGCAACGGGCAGGACGGCTGCCAAGAAGGCGAGGAATCTGAAGAGCTCCATGTCTAGCGATCTGAAGACAACACGTGCGAGAAAGGGGTGTTAATGTTGCAGAGGCTGGATAGTAGGTAAGACGAGTCCAGGATGCTGCTGAAAACTACTAGACATGATGAGAGAGAACATTCGCATTCTTTTATACTCATCCCGACTCCAGCATCATGGCTTGCATCACGCTGTTGTTGTCGCTGTTCGTAACAGAGCCCTCCATTGGACTAGCCGCCACCAAATTCCTCCTTCCCAATTTGCCCAAATCCGCCTAGCGACGTTACCCAGCTTTGATAGTATCAGCTGGGCAATAGTCTAAAGACACTTCAAAAGACATCCACCTCGCGACGTTATAGCAAGATAGGCAGGACAGTCCTTGAAAGGAAACTTTGAAGATTAGGCATACTACCTGCGTGGCGAGATGGCACATGGCCTAATAGGAAGGAGGGGGAGGGAAGCAAGGAATCGGACGGGAGCTTATGGCAGATAAGGCGCTATAAGTCCAGGCCGGCACATCTCGTGACCTTGGTCAACACGCCAAGATATTTCCAGATCATGGTCTTCGCATCGGCTATATCTTCATTCTAGGAAAGCCGATGGTGATGGTAATGGCCTGGCCTGTGTTGTTTCTGGCTGACAAACTGGGCGATTGACGCTTCGACGCTTCGGGCCTGCGAGATTCAGGTCGTCGACAGGCAATACTAGCAGTCAAATTAACGTGTGCTTCAGCTACAGCCTACCGATGATCTGCGTTTTCAGCTTTGCGGAAAATATTGCAAATCTCCGGCAGTCTCAGCGGCGAGCGCCGGCTAAACGGCCCCTCCCTCCCGGCCCTCGGCACTCCTACCTTCCCTCCTTCCTTTTTCTTCTCTCCATTGCTCCCTTCTCCTGACTAGCTCCACCACTCTCTCTCCGCTTCCTTCGACGGTCTAGGCCCGCCAAGACTAATGTAATCCGAGGTCTGTCCGTTCACGCTTTCCGTCCCGGATTAGCAGCCCGAGACGTTCCGCCAAGCAGCGGAATCCAACCTCAGGCACGGCGTTCAGCACTAATAAGGGAGCTTCAGTCTTGGCTTTAAGTTGTCTTATATGCGCTATAAGCCTTGGCTGCTACATTCTTATCAGGATTAGCTTATTTGGGCAACGTCGTTAAATCCGAGACTTACTGTAGCTAATCATTGGCGGGGCGAAGAAGGCCGTTTTATGGGTCGCAACAAGTATAGGGGCTTCTATTTCTTGATTTCGAAAACTTCCAACTCTGGAGGCTTCCATGCCAAGTCGGCATCATATGTCTGCAAAACGGCCGGCTCCAGTCAGATCTGCCTCACGGATCTTGATAATTACCAGAAATGTGCAGGCCAAGTCCCGCCTCCATCATAGTTTAAAGCTTAAGCTTCTATCTGATCCATGGTATCAACATAGCTTGAATAACGGGGATGGAAACATTGTTATATTTGGTATACGGATAGGCATTTAGAAGATGATAAAGTTATTAACTTAAAAGGAGCCCATCTATCAATCGTTAATAAACAAGACAACTTACATCACATCTTCGATATGGCTGTTTAGCCATGCAAACAGCTTTGGGAGTTTTCACAACTGCCTAATAGCTACCTAGGCAATCATACAATTCATCAAGCCATCTCCTTACTATTCAACTGGTCTACCGATGCTATCACTCAAGTTAACTCCACAACTCCGAAGAATTGCTCTTAGTTGTTTTCACTTAATGCGCAGGCTGTATCCCTTGCTGCCAGTAAAGCCCGGGTTACCTAGTCAACCTAAAGACTTCATGCTTTTCATAAATTGCTTGCAGCTGGAACCTCCTCTTCAAGACGTTTCAAATAAAGACTCACAGAAAAGCCTAAATTATGCAGGTACTTGTTATCAGATCCGGAATATTGAAGTCTTAGAACATCAATAATCTAGCCCAATAGCTATCTTGTTTCATATATTAACGCATAGCTCTTTCAACGTGATTATCATGACAAAGAACCCCTCAGATCGCCGGCTTACCAATGACCATAGCCCTAAGTCTGTGCTCTTCCCGACGCCAAGATGTTGCCAAGAGTATATCCACAGAAGGAAGCAACTTTCGACGTTCTGTTGATGTTCTGTTGATCGCGATAATGCTCTTTAGACATTGGTCGCAAAGGCGTTTTTCGCTCCACTTTAGGACTCAGCGTCACCGAGGCTGGCCGCGATGTTTGTCGTCATGATGCATGCAACGAACGTTGGGTCTGGAACATATTGATTCGTTTACATAAACATCATGCTAGCGGACGCCGGGCAGAGGGTCTCGTACAGATCCGCGCATCGCCATTAGCCAGACCGCGCGGATCCTCATTTTAAATATATGCAAAGTCGATAAAAAGCACATCTCACCAGCACCAACGCACCACTTCTCCCCTCTTCCCATACTTACATCATACGCCATCCCCTCTTAATCCTAATATACTACCTACCTACCTCTTATTAGATATCTAAAAGAAACTTCTATCATCCTAATTCTTAATTACCATCCATCTATCACACACACCCAACCCTCCAAAATGCCTTCCCTCACCAACCTCATCACCCCCCTAGCAGCCTTCCTCCTAGCCTCCGCCACCACAGCCCTCCCCACCACCACACCCGTCAGCCCGGCTCCGGCCATAGCGGTGAGAAGCACAAGTTGCACAGGCTCCGGCAACACCACCCAGCTGTACGCAAGCGATCTGTACCCCTTGTTCCCAGGGGACCCGGACCTAGCGAAGCCGGCAACCGAGGACTTCCACGTGCAGTACAACAACCAGACGGGGTTAGCCATCTCGCAAGCGGCGCACTTCGGGGGGCTGCCCAGCGGCGCGACGGGGTGCGCGTTCGGGTGGTCGCAGGACGACGCGTCCGTCGGCGTCCTGGTCGCCGGCGGCGACGGCCTTTTGGCCGGACGCCAGCTCTCGGGGTTCCCCTCCGATGCTACGGCGGCGCGTGGCGTGTCCTCCGCGGCCGTAGCGCCGTTCGATACCGCGAGCCCCGAGGATGCTTTCCAGACGGAGTTTACCGGCTGGGATCGCGAGGCCAAGGGGACGTATCATACCTCTGGGCCGGGCAAGATTACGTGCGCGGAGGACGTGTACTTGATTATTGAGAAGCCGAAGACTACGAATGGGAATGTGTTTTTGAAGAAGACGGAGGGGGCGGGGATATTTATTGAGTATATGTGCTAATTTTGGTTATGAGTGGTGGGGATAGAAAATGGGTATCGGGGAGTACGTGAATTGGGTTGAAGGATAATGTTTTGAAACGATCTGCTTTATGATTCTGGCGGCGCATCATGAGTTGTATTGGGTTATTTGAAAAGTATTGAATTCTCGTGTCTATATTAGGGTTATTGTCCTTGCTCACTTTACATAATGGCTTAATACTTCGCTTCTAGCATCACCAAGTCAATATCATATATTTTTGGAAATGTTTCTTCTTTTACATGCATAGAGATATGTCTTAATTGAATCAAGAGTTGACTGATGCACGAATCGGGTTTTGCGCCATCTGAAAGTAGTTTACATTGACAGTCTACTTAATCTCTAAGGTTATGAGTTGCTTGTATACCTTGCTAGGTTGATAGTTATATAGCATTTAACGCTAACTCTTGACGTTGAGCTATTTGAGTAGCTACCTAATTAAGACCAAAAGACGAAATGAATCAAAGTAATTCAGGGGCAACCCCCTTTTTACGTTCCTACAAACTAAGGACACTACTATAGAGGTACAAGATCATTTTACATTAGGTACTAGAAACATTTATAATAAATACTAATACTTCCCGAGTAAACAGTAAATGCTGGTTATATTACTGAGTCGTTATTAGCTTAAGCCTCCGATGTTGCCACCGACAACGGAAACACGTGGAAATGGTGGTAAGAAAATAGGGGCTAAATTTCACACTGGATGGAAATGTTCTTTCTTAGTGCCCTATTTAAATGAAAAACATGGAGGTTCACACACTTTATTGTTTCTCATCCAACGCATGGTCAACTATGTCTAGTTCTGTGATATTTTCTGTGCTGGTTGTTATACTGCTGTTACCGGAGATCACCACGAATGTCTACAAGTTCACGCCCAAATGTATCGGAAATCGAAAACATATCTAGGCTTATCTAGGCGAGTTGATCCTAGGCTTGGTTCATAATTATTAGTTGAAGACGGCGCACCTCAACTCATTTTGCTGCATAATCGTTTTCGGGAGGATACTTCGTCAGGTGCCTCGGGGCCTTTGGTTAACTAGCAGGGTCAAAACGACGAATTCCCAAGAAGCACAATAGGATTCCGTAATTTCAGTATGGATATAGTACTCTTTGGCGCTATGAGGACGTATAGCTTTAGTGCTTATAGTGCTTATAGTACTTATAAATGCAACGGTGAATTTTGACTTCGTTTGCTGAAGCCCCTGAACCTTCCTAGTATCGTGGCATGAACTCTTTGATATTCGGCAGCGCCCTCGTACACTTGTCAAAAACCACACAAAGTAAATTTCTCTCGATTTACTAGCCTACCTACATAAAACCGTATACTAAGCGGCCTCGAAAGTCTGAAGGTATATAACAGCCATAGGCCAAAGCTATGTAAAGACCTTCCACCACAAATTTACCCACACTATAAATCTCACCCATGCTATTCAGCTAAAATATCACGCACTCGCCACATAGGAGCCAGTGCCACGAGTAAGATGAGGAATAACACATGGTTAGTTCATGAAACTCACAGACTATTAGGTCCAAAGATCAAGCATCCCACAGCGAATAGCTCTAGATTACGACTGCAATAGAGAGAGCTACGCCCCGAACCGTACCTTGGGCAATCCCTCGCACTTACGCAAGGCGTCCACGCCTTCACGAGCCAACGCCAATAGTCAGGCCTCGCTAAACTCAACGCTCGTGGAATAAACCTAAGCAGGCCTCTTCACAGCCGGTGAAAAAAACAAGGTATCGAGAAGTTACCCGCCCCTTCAGCGCGAACAAGCTATCGTATACTTCAAACACCAATACAACATACACATCACATCATCTCACCTTACCTCGCCTCACCTCTACCCATCACCATACCTGCCGTCGCAGATTCGCCCTTCATGTGTAGGGTACGACGAGTATTCTACTCGTGCCTGCACGAGGACTACGACGTGACGCCTCCGCGGGCCATCCTGTACTGCAGCTGGGCCGTCCCTAACGTGGGCAGCAGCTCCAGCAGCGGCGTGCGGCCGTGTGCGAGCGTCCAGGTACTCCCGCTCACGGACCGGGACGACGTCTTCGCGGGCATCGTGCGCTCGGTGCCGTGCGATGTCTGTGCCGGCTTGCCCGGTCCCGGCAACGATGGTACTACTTACTACCGGAACCCGTGGTTGGTGCCGCCGATGGTAGCAGCGGAAGCCGCTGAAGCTGAGGCCGGACCAGAAGTAGAGAGCAATGAGCCGGTCGGACAGGAGTCAGCTAGTCATGACGACAATGACGTTGATATCGACACTTTGCTTGAGAGGCTTGACGCTGCTAGCCTCCAGGATGAACTCGACGTGTTCGACTTCGCGTGGGATGGGGACAACCGTCAAGTAGCAGAGTCGGCCGGCATAGAGGACGCAAGCAACGCAACTGGTAACCCGACTGACAACGGACAGCCCATCGGAACGCCCGGATCTGGCGAGGGACCTTTCTATTCCAACGGAGAGACAGATCTCAACCAGGAGATCCAATCCGCTACTAGGGAACTACAGGATCTACAACTCTACGATGAACAGGAGGAGGGGCAGGAGTTTGCCGATGAGCTGAACGAGATCGGTAGTGACACAGGCAAAGAAACGTCGACATAATGTCAGATACCTCAAGACTTTTGAGCAATAGATTTGCCGCCATAGGATATCCCACGACTTTGGCAGAACCACGAGACGGATGTCTAGAGCGCAGCACTCGTGGAGGGGGTGACCACAATACGGAGTTCGGCATCGCTCAACGTCGTCATTGCCGTAGATACTTGACCAAGCTCGTGTCTAACTCTTTGGGACGATCCCCTGCTCACTTCGTCGTTTTAACTTGGAGCTTAGGCGCTCGCGTTACTAGATGGATAAACAAAAACTTGGGAGGGCGATCTGGATAGATGGTCCGTTTTCTGGGTACGCAGTGCGGCGGGAAAGTCTTGAGGTTAGATACGGCGTATGTACCTACCGGAGGTATCACCGAATAACAATAAGAAGGATAAACGAGCCCATCATAATGTGATATCCTCTGAATTATGTGAAAGTCGAAGTGGATCCCCCCTGATTCATCTTCTACTTATCTTGGCTGCTTCACGCTGTACCTCAGCCTCCTGGAGACCTACGCCCAACAACTAGGAAGAGAAAAAGGAAAGGGGAAAAGAAGAAAGAAGTCTCTTGGAGTTTGGCTGGTGGAAAGCCCCATACTGGTCCGTGATAGGTTGTATGAAATGAAGCCTTGATATTATTATCCCGGTGTGGTACCGATGACCAGGATAAAATCAAAAGAGTAATAAGAATTTAAGTCATTGAATTACGGCTTTAATAAACTCCATAGAGAGAAATCCATATAGTTCATTAGGCCTTCGCCAATACTTGCACAGCACGATCTACTTTACCCCTATTCCATATTTTCCGTATGTAAGCCTTACCAAGTAACACCACTAACAACCAGCCTTCTTACCTAGCCATCTTTAATCCCTTCTCCTTCAAATATGTTTAATAAAAAATTAAAATGATAATAATAAAATAAAACCGCTGTTCATCATCCGACAAACCAGCCACTGTAAATAATCCAACTGAGAGAGGAGCACGTAGCTGACGTATCCCCATCGCCCATCGAAACAGCGACCAGACCGCGCACGTTTCACAGCCGGCGCCTCTACACACGTCAGACCCACAATCACACCCAGATCCCGGGATTGATAAACCAACTTGTACGTGTGTGTGGGGGGGCAAAGCACGTTTTGACGCAAGAACCGCTCTGGTCAGAGCCTCTTTCGCCTCAAAGATACATGCATCCTCCGTATGGACAGGCAACGTTCGATCTAATCAGATGCCGAGGCCCCGACTTGGACGACTCATTTTCCCTTTACGCTCTCCCCTTCGTCTCTTTACGGAAACCTAGAGCGAGAGCATGAAAGTCGAATCGGATCTCGTTCTTGGCATTCCACTCTCTTTTCTGGATCTCGTCGTTTTGGACTCTTTAGCCAATCGCGGAGTCCACTTCGCCCACGAGGGCGCGGATCGACTTGCTGTTGCGAAAGACAAGACATCGTCTCCCAACGTTTCTAGATCAATGTTTGAACAGAGCCGCATGCAAGAGCCGCGTAATACTTCTCAAAGAACCAAGGTTTATAAGGTCTCTATCTCGTTTCATTCCTAGTTATCTGGTAAATTCCTCTAAAACGAGAAAATCAATCACACGATAGAAGTCATAAAAAATAGAGGGATAGTTGAGAAGAAGTAGGAAATCCAAGCCTAGGTGTAAAAGGATATTGCAGATTCAGGTAAACTAGATACAAAGGTATATATGATAATCAACATCTAATGTAGTTCCCACTTCTCCAACATCGATTCCGTACATCGTAGATTCGTCGCCGGTGGCGGGAATCTCGGAGGTATCCGCCCAACCCGAGTTCAGGTATACATTAAATTCTTCCCGTGATGATGTTCCGCTTCCTATTCCGGCCAGGTCGTGTGCTTCTGATTTGGTAGTCGAACCGATTAAGTATCCTAGCTAGACCTTAGGTCTACGCGAACAGTCTAAGCTCACATTCACCCTAACCGAGGTCCAAGAAAGCCTGAATTGCTCGCGGTCTAGATTGATTAACACACAAATATAATGGTCATCCGCGTCCCGCGCCAGTGATTAGGCAATGCTTTCGAATTTGCTGGCAGCATATCGACCAGATCTTGACAATAACAAACAAACCCTTAGAAGTTTTCTTTGCCCCAGACGAAAGAAAAACTGTTATTTTGTTAGCTAATAGACCTGCAAAATAGTCTTCTGAAGAATTTCACATAGGAGTAAACTTACCCAGGTTCACTGTACTTATTACAGAAGACGTGGAGCGCACTGCCGAGACCCTTAGGTCCACAGAAGAACACACCAGCCTCGGCCGGCGCATGCAGTTTTCGGATACCTCTGAAAATCATGTCCCAGTTGGGTCGTCCAAAGTTTGTGGGACTTCGCAATCCGGTAATCGTATCCTTGTCGGCGTTGGCATCGTTGATCATGATATTTGTCGCATCATCGGCCTTGATCTTAGCAGTGAGGTAAGTGTGGATCTCGATTCGGCCGTCAACATCTTGAGCCTCGATGGCCAAAAGTAGCGAACGGAACCATTCGAAGGAGCCGAAATCTCTGCAAATCCAGAAAAAGTACACCTTCGTAAGTCGCGTCTTCTTCTGCGGGTAGTTCATTCGATACCAGATCGACTTCAGAATAGACGCGAACGGCGTAACACCGATACCAGCACCGCAAAGGACCGAGACCTCGTACTTAAACACATCTTCAGAGGCAGACCCAAAAGGACCGTCGATATAAACACGCGGCAGAACCCTTCGCAGGGCAGGGTCTACCTCGTTGTTCTGACCATCAACTCCAACAACCTTCGAGGAGTCCTTGCTATCTTTCTTTCCGAATTCACATCCAAGGGTCGTGGCTAGTTGTCGAGTGAAATCACCGACTACACGTACATGGATGGAGATGTAGTCCTCTTCGGGCGCACTGGTCAAGGTAAACGGGTGGTACTGCCAAAGTGAGACTTCCGGGCAGCAAAAGAAGATATACTGTCCAGCCTTGGTCTTCGTGTTTTCTTTCTTGATCTGGATTTCGCAAACGTTGCTCGGGTGCTGGATGACTTTCGAGATGTAAGTCTTATGGCGACCACGCAGTTCACGGGCAATTCTCTCGGCCAGATAAGTAAATCCTCCGACCATCCAGTACTGCCAGAAGACACCAATAGCGGAGCTGCCGACTGAGACACAGAAAGGCGCGAAGTCGGGTTGGATCATGCAGAAAGCTCCGTGGAAGGACCAGAAGAAAAAGAAGATGATGAACATGTGGTGCGTGTACCAGAATCGTTCGTAGTTCGCCCGTCTGGGTTTCTCATACGAAGTCACCACCATTCCCGTAAGCGCGATCAACATGATGTATCCAGTCCAGCCCGGACCGGACACCAAGTTAGCAACCAGCCATCCGTAGATGCCCAGATTGTTCTTGGCAGCGATCTGGGCCAAGTTGTTCCAGTGGGCGATCGTGTGGACCCAGGAAAAGAAGAAGATAGACCACGCTGTCGTAATGTGGAACGTAATGTTCTTGTCAAACTGGATGATACCATTCAGAGGCGTCTGTCTCGCGATAGAGATAAATGTCCTGCAGACCGGCAGCAGAATCATGGCGACATCCACGTGAAGCACTAGTGCCGCTGATCGCGCAATCATGTAAGTCGGTCCAAACGTATCTCGCGCTACCTGCAAATTGTCCTTGACGGCGTAATTGACGAATCCGAAAGCGAAGACGAAGGCGTGAAGCACCATAAAAATGAAGACGAAGCTAATACACTCGTCAGTAATTTGTCTTGAAAAATGAACTCACGTATGGCACCAACAATCTTCGGTAACCCTCGTTAATCATCCACTTATCGAACTTTTCTCGCATCGTCAATTCCTTCTGTCGTTCCTGGGTCATCTCTCCTGACAGTAGCATTCTTGTCAACGGCGTCCATCTTGACCTCTCTGACGGTTTCTCCCCTCCATATTGACTGCCCCCGTAGTAAGACATCTTGCTCGAAGGACGTTTCGTAACAAATCTTTCGTGGTCGTTGGCTTGATATCGTTTCCCGGGCAAATTCGTCCTCTAATCTTCCAAATACTCTTGAATCTTGAACCGCGAATTTACCAACCCAACACCGTCAAGTACCTCCTCTTATGTTATTAGACCTTTGAATTATATTTCGAAACCTCGTCCTTTAGACACGGGATAAAAACAGGTAATACTAATTCAGAGCCTGCTGAACGGGCACAAGGCCATCGAAGGAGAGAATCGGCGATGTGACGGACAAAATCTTTGAAGATTAAAATGAACGGATAGTCGACCTGGAAGCCTGCCTATCGCAGCCGCCTATCAGCCAACGCAAAGAATCGAACAGCGCACCTACGAACAACGAAAAAGGAAGTGGGAAAGCGTTTAGGAAGAAGCGAAGGGAAAGGAGAGAAGGGTTCCGAAGATCTCATGCAAGAGGCGGGAAGGCAGTGGATATTATGGGAGGCTGCCAAGAATAGGAAACATCAGACCATACACGTATTGGGGGATCATACCTGGGTACAACGCCGCGCCAGGGGTTGTCAACGTCAACGATACCTCAGCTTAAACTATTAAGTGATGAGAAGCTTCGCAAGCCAAGCTATTACAACCCACGAAAACAGCAGGAAAAGGAATGAAAAAAGTGTTCTCAGGAGAAAAGGAATAATAATGATGTGATACTGGGGATATAGAATCGAAAATGCATGGGTATTCGAGCATGAAAGTATGTACCGGTTACTTGCGACAACGATGGATCAAAGCGAGGGTCTGCGTAATGACTAGGTACTAGTAACACGCGTCAGGGGGGTTTTCAGTGAATGGGTCCTTGATTTGGCCTCGAAGCGGTTACAGCCTTATTACCGCAACTGTTTCGAGCTTCTGAAGCACGAAAGAAGCTCGTAACGCAGCAAAACTTTTTGCTGAATCAGACGAATAAGTCTGGTAGAAATCACGGATACCGGCAGATATCCAGTACGCACTGAAAAAGCGTATACCTAGGCCGCCTGTAAAGAACAATGTCTATTCTTAATGGACAAAAGCACTCACTGTCGATATCGACTGGATATGTCGAACAAAGAATTTTCCTCGTTGAAGTCTTCAATGGCCCGTTCTTTTGACCCGGGTTAACCTGGTCCTGTATGATATTCAGATCCTTAACAAGGATGAATGGGTGGGTAATGGCACCACTGAGCATCGTTGACGACACGTCCCGATACAAGCCAGATATGAAGGCGGACAGGACGGACTGCGCAATCGTCAGCCATACTACCATAGCACAGCTTGCGAGGCTAGGCGATATTGCTGCACGTAGAATGGTAGGCTGAAAATTAGAAGAGTAGTAACAGGAACACGAACAGGGGAGTTGAGGGGATTGAGGCTTGGACTCGGTTTGGGGTGTGGAGAGATCGAGTTCGAGATTTGATTCGTCATTGGTCCATCCTTAGTCCATCCTTAGAAAGATCCCCGGCGCCTACGCTTCAGCATGTTTCGTCAGGGGTCCTTGACACATTCGAGACTTGAACCCACCAAGGGCTTCGTAGCAAAAGGGGACAAGCGCCCGCCAACTTTTATGCCAGGCATTTCGAGACAGTTGTGAATGTTCTAAGTGCAGTGGTGAATGGTAAGTGGGTAAATTTAAGGCCTGGTCTTGTAGGTTATCGGAATATTATCCAATCATCAACGTTAGCGAATAGATCTTTTTAGTAGATTAAATTAGGTTATCCCCTCACTTGTACGACTTATTATGAAGTTAACAAGAACATTAGGCATAAAATATTCGATATCGGCACGCTAATCTCGGGCTTCGGCAGATTGACGACAGGGTCACCATAGCAAGGTTTTACTACATCGTACTCAAACAATTAGAATAGAAAGCGGCTCACGAAGCAGACCCACTCAGTTCGATTCGATTCGATATGCATGCAACACCCCTTCGATTTGTTTATTATGAACCATGTACAGTCCCATGGCTTGATAATGGCAAGTTTTACGAGTGGGAGTTTCAAGAGTGAAGACTCCAGTTGATTCATTACTCGCAAATAAACTTTACCACCAACAGCATCACACGTGTTTCGGTGTTTCGGTGCTATATAGCATCACATAATGGGCATCCCCGAGCAGATCTCACAAACAGCTCGAGGTTGAATATATAGTTGAACATATAGTTACACATTTAGATATAGATAACAATATGCTCTCACATCGAAATATGATTTTCTTGTGTTTGGCCTGAACTTCACCCCCACGTTACCGTTTCTCGTGTTTCCTAAGCCACTCGAATCCAAGTTGTATAAAGACAGATCCATTCAGATCCTACGAAACATGTAATATCCGGATCCGTATATCCCAACTCGACACCTCCTATTTTACCTCTTCCTCACCTAGGTACCCTTCCATTGTAGGATTCTCTTGTCGTAAGGATGCTGCTAAATAACTTACTACTCGCACCAACGACCCATCACCGTACGACCAAGTGAAGCACATTTGTCGTGTATATGCCCATCGTTCGATTTTGAATTGCGCGGCTAAAACAAGGGGTGTGTACAGTAGGCCATCTTTAGATCACGTTTCTCCTATCTCGGGAGCACAAGGACCAAACCCGAAACACATCGGTCTTATAAAATTCCCTTGCCATGTACATAAATCTTTTCACTCCACCAAACCGGCACCATAGAATATCTTGGCTTGATACAATCCTTGGTGTTAGTTTACGACGTTGGTGCCTTCATCCGTATGAGGAAGCACTAGAATTCGTTCGAGACTTATTGCTAACTGCCACTTTGGCCAATACTGATGCTGGCCTACGCTGGTCGATGAACATCTACGGTCACACAATGGACTGGTCAACCTAATACGTCAACGTAGGCCTAAAACCTAATATCAATTTTCACGACCGGTTGCGGTCACATAAAGGGAAGGGATTGGTGAATCATAACAGATCTGGGATGAACGTCGAAGAGGATCGAAATGCAAAGCCGCAGTTCCTCCAGACAACCCCATTAATTCATGCCTATCTTTCGTAAAACCTCGTCTTCCTCAGCAAGTCATTCTAAGCCTGTTCCGAAAGTCGTGTGCTCGAGAGTTCTTTAAGAGGCACACTAAGCCATAACGACGAATGGACAGAGACAGTGGCAAATGCGAATCGTATTGCCTATGTCGGAAGGAGGGTCCACGTCCCTTCCGGTATCACTACCAGTAAGTGCTATGCTCATTGCCCTGCCGTATCAACCACTACGCTTCACCGACGAATCTTCCCCTCGCCACTCGCCCTAGATGGCGTACTTGCGAGTCCACTCCCGGGCCGTAGCTTCATACCTCGCACGGTCGGTCTTGTACACATGCGCGATTTCGGGAACCAGAGGGTCATCAGGGTTGGGGTCGGTCAGCATGGAACAGATAGAGAGAAGAACTATGAACAGTTAGAATCGTAAAATAGAGCATGTTTGGGGCCTTGTTTGACGGCGCTTACCCTTAGAGATAGTCAATGCCGGGCTCCATTGGTCTCTCAAGATGTCCAGGCAGATGCTTCCGTTAGAGTTGATGTTTGGGTGGTAGATACGGGTCGTAAAGTTGACCTTGGGGGGCTTGAAGGGGTAGTCTGTTGGGAAATGGATGGCAAGGAAGAAGACACCACCAGAGTACGGCGAGTCACCCTAAGACATCTGATTAGTATTTTGAAACCTAACATTTGAAAGACATAGCCATAGTCTTGGCCTCAGCAGCCGCCCCATTAGCAAGCTCGCTACGCAGATGGCCTGCGATGCAAAGACTGCTAGAGAAAGATAGAATGAGATGTATGATAATCAAGAGGTTGGCTTACAGGTCCCATGATCGTCGCTTGCCAGTGGAACTGTGTAGAAATAATGAATTAGTAATAGTTCATGATACGAGAAATTCTATTTCCAAAGTCTTCAAGGCAGTGCTTCTCGTGCCCAACGACTCGAGTCAAGCAACGATTAGATAGTCCAGCCTTTCTCGTTCTTTGGTGGGGGTGAGACAGTGTAGTGCTTACCAGATCTTCACCAACGGGACCAGCAGAGCATGATGAGGGAGGGTCACTATGAAACAAAACGTTAGCAACGCCATCAAAATACAATATTCCTTTTTTTTCTTATCCGCAGCCGTAGCAAACAAATGAAATTCCTTTTTCTTCATTGTGAGGCTGTCACGTAAGATCCCCGCTCTGTCTCCTATATGGCTGCCCCACCTTGGGCTCAAGACAGACAGATGCATCGCCAAACAACCGGCCGCTACGATAAGGGAAAAAAATCGACATACCGGCCTAGGTCTGTGAGTTCCTTGTTGATACGCTTCAACGCCATTGCGAAGTTGTGGGATGTAGTGTTGCTAAGCTTTTTGCTCGACGACGATCTCTGCTGTTGAGAGAACGGCTATTTATACTTGCGGTCAGTATGGAATGCGGGAGAAATGGATGGAGATGTTCAGGCGAATTGCAGATAAAATTGAAAGGGTATAAATAGAGAGGAAACGGGAGATAACACATACCAGAGAGTGGAAGTTTAGGTGACTGTAGTCAGGATTCAAGGATATGAGGTCAGCGGGAGGAGATATCGGTGGTGGTGTTGATTATTGGTATTATTGTCGGATCGTTTTGATTTCGTAGTTTTGGTGATGGTGACTGTAAATGCGAAAGTTGGTAGCGGGGAGAGAAAGAAAGTCAGGCAAGTCTTTCAGGTGACGGAATGAATGGGAATATTGGGTCAGCTGTGCACGGGCCAGGAAGTCAAGAAGAGCAGGGGCAACCACAAAGAAAAGGACGGGCACGACGGCAACAAGGCAGGCGCTAGCACCTGTTTTTCTTCAACCCAATCAAGAGATGATTCACTCCAGATTCTCCAATTCAAGTGGCTGAGAGTGGCTTAGCTGCTTGCAAATGATTGTATGTGGTTGTACCTTCTTGATACCCGTTGGTAAACGAGTCCGACAAAATTGGCAAGTTAAGCCTTGAACGAGCCAATCAGATTATTCCGGCTCTTTCCCAGGGACCCGAAGAAACGGCGCCTTAGGCTTGTCTGGTTACACCCTAAGTTTATTCCCCACACCGCCACTATCTAGGCCAATCACGGCCCAGTACTGTGTGTTTTAAGAAATATCTACGTACCTAATATCTACCCAGGCGCCACTCAACAAGTCGACTCACTTTGCCATGTCGAAAATTAGTCATGCTTAATAAAGGTGTTGATTTGTTTATATAGATTCATTCTATCTGATCCGATTTTTGATTGGGACCTAAGTACCTTGTTGACCCGCGCTGCTCGCAACGAGGAGCGACCAAGCAACTATTTGCTTAGACAATTTCGACAGTTATAAGTACATATATTAACATCCGGTACATAGCACTGTGAATCTTCATAAGTACCTATATATTTACATATCTAGGTAATTTCATGGATAGTTTACCTACTGTATGTTTGTTGGAATATATGTGTAATGCACGATGGCGACAGTATGAGGTAATCTGATCGGGTATCTATGTGATCACTAGGAAGTGGCGTATTTACCTAGATTGCTATTTTCCACCAAACATTGGGCAGTTCGGATAGATCATATTACCGTAGTACTTCAAGTTATAGGTTTGTAAACAGTCATCACGTGTAGTAAGTTTATTCCAACTGGTATGCGGAAAATGGCGAGATATCATCTCTCGAATCAATAGCTTCAAATCTACATAATGTATGCATGTTGGATATAATCCGGTATATCTACATTGTCCCAGATATGCTCGACGATCTGGGTACATATGAATCTCTTTGGTTGGTTCAGCTCGTTTCTTCATACGAAAGCTTGTATTCCAGTGATGGCTCTTCCGAGAATGAGAGCTACATATATCTACCATTAGCAGATGTCCGTGATCTTGGAGATGGATCCACTTACAGTGAATATCGCTCTGGCCTTCATATGTCTGAGTCACGAATAGGTTAGCCACGTGTCGTCCGATCCCGTACTCGTCGCTAACGGCGTTCCCCCCGAAGATCTCTTGTAATGCTCTCGCATTCACAAGCGCACGGTCGCAGTTCTGTCTTTTTATCATGCTGATCATCTCCGGTGTGGCTTTCCCCTCATCTTTAAGTCTACCCACTTGTACCGACGCTAACACTCCATACGCAGCATCAGTTGCAGCATCAGCTAATTTCTTCTGTACAAGTTGATACTTAGCGAGGGGATTGGATTTGAATTGCTTGCGTTCCAAGGCATATGTCCGCGCTAGGTTAATACAATCTTCCAAGGCGCCCATAGTTCCAAAGGAGATACCGTATCGGGCACTATTCAGGCAAGTGAAAGGTCCACTTAATCCCTCGATGTCGGGAAACATGTTTTCTTGCGGTACCGGGCAGTCGTCCATATGAATCATGCCGGTAATGCTAGCCCGGAGCCCGGTCTTGTTCTTGATAGCCGGAGTCTCCAGTGTACCTGACGGACAATCCTTTTTGTCTATGAGGAATCCTCTGATCTTACCGGTCTCTTGCAACTTCGCCCATACCATAAGCACATCAGCAATAGGCGAATTCGTGATCCAGGTCTTAGAGCCGCTTAGAAGGTAATATCCCTTTTTCGTCGGGTGCGGTCGCGCCATCGTTTCCATGGATCCTGGGTCGCTTCCATGGTTGGGTTCTGTGAGTCCAAACGCGCCAAGGAGCTTCCCCTTAGCCATGCTGGGTAGATATTTCTCCTTCTGTTCCGTAGTTCCAAATTCGTAGATTCCGCCCATGACCAAGGAGGATTGCACTGACATGCCCGATCGGTAGCCGCTATCGACTCGTTCGACGGCCCGGGTGATCAGACCGGACGCTACAGTTGATATCCCAGCACAACCGTAACCGTGCAAATTCGCACCGAGTAGGCCAAGTTCACCCATCTCGAGCAAGATAGTGGGGTCATAATGCTCATCACGATATGCCTCTACGAGCAGTGCGGTTAGCGAGCAAACCATGATACAAGACCCCACAAAGCGCCAATTGAGTCGAGAAATACTCACGGAGAACTCGCGGTTGCAATTGTTCTTGACAATATCGCTCTGCTGTCTCCGAAATAGCCAATTCGTCCTCGGTAAATAAGTTCTTGCTTGCTAATGGATCATTCCATTCAAATTGAGACTTGGAAGCCGAAGCGTAGCTCCTAAAAGCCTGCCACTGTCTAACAGAAGCGACCAGTGGTTTTGAAACCCGGGATATCGTTGGACGTAACATGACTGCACTCTTAATTTGGAGAAATTGAGGTGAGCGTTATGGGATTTAGAGCTGTTTAGACGGTGCGCTATTTGAGCTAAACTGCTAAAGCCTTAAAATAAAAATTTTATTTTTTATTTTTTTTTTATAATTTTTTATTATTATTAAATTTATATATTTAAATATGTATTATTTATTTTATATATGTTTAATAATAATTTTATAATAATGTAATAATAAATTAATTAATAATAAATTAATAATAATTTAATAATAATTTAATAATAATTTAATTATGGTTTAATAAAAGTTTAATAATAATTTAATTATAGTTTAATAAAAGTTTAATAATAATTTAATAATAATTTAATAATAATGTAATAATAATTTAATAATAATTATATAATATATTATAAAAAATTATAATATTTATATAAAATTATTTTATTAATAATTAACTTTTAATTATAAATAAAAGAAAATTTATATATATATATTGTATTTTTTTAAAGGGATTAATTAAAACTTTTTACGTAATAATGTTGTTTTTTTTTAATTTTTTAATTTCGTTTTATAATAAAAATTTTTTTAAATATTAAATTAAATGCGGTTAAATAACGAATTCTTTTTTTAAACTTAAAAATTTAAAGTAATAAAATATTATTTAATTTAAATAACAAGCTTTATAAAAATTTAATTATTAAATAATATAAAAAGTAATAATATATTTTTTTAATTAATATAAAATTATAATTTTTATAAAATTAATAATTATATATTAATAATAATATAAACTTTTTAATTTTATAAATATTAAAACTTTTATAATAATTTTTAAAAATGTTTAATTAATTAAAAATAAGTTTTTATAAATATTAATAAAAGTTAAAAATTATTAAAAATATAATTATTAATCGTAATAAAATTATAATTTTATATTAATTAAATAAATAAAAAAGTTTTACCTTTTTATAAATAAATAAAAAACCTTAAAAAATAATATTATTAATTATATTTAAAACCTTTATTTTAATAATTATTACGTTACGTTTTTATATTTATTTTATACGTAATCATTTAAAACATTTATTAACATTTATATATATTTATTAATATATTATATCCTTAAATAAATAATAATTTAAAAATTTTTATATAATAATATTATTTAATATTTTTATCTTTTAATTTCGTTTTATAATAATATTATAATAAATTAATTTTATTATTTATAATATTATAAAATTATTTAATTTATAATTTTTATTTTTTAATAATTATTTAATTTAATTAATAAGTAATAACTTCCATTTATAAGCTTTTTATCCTTATCGTAATAAATATTATAAAAATATTAAAAACTTTTAAATATTTCCATATATAATAAACGTTTAAGTTGAAAAAATAGGAAATATAATTATTAATTTTAATTAATAACGTTATTATTTTTAAAGTTATTAATGTTTATTAATAATGTTTTTTTAAAAAAATTAAAAATAAAAACGATAGTTTTATAATTAAGATTTAACTTATTTTCGAATATAAAATAAAATGAATAAAAAATTAAGCTTTATATAATAATAAATCTTAATATTATGGTTTAAAAGAATTAAAAATTAATTATAAAGGTTTATAATGTTTTTATAATATTAATAAAATTAATTTTATTTATACCGATAATTTTTAATATTATATTTAATTATAAATAAAAAATATTTCCGTTTAAATGATATAAATAAACTTATTTACGAATGGTTATTTTTTTATTTAATTAAAAGTTATAAGGGGAAACTTTAAAATAATATTATAAACGATTATTTAAATAATTCTTTTTTTTTAATGTTTATTTTTATAATAATATTTTTAAGAATTAAACTTATTTTATAATTATCATTTATAAAAAATTAATTTATAATGGTATTTTTTAAATTTATATATATTCGGAAATTCCGGGGATATTAATTATTTTATTAAAAAGTTTCCTTTAATAAAAAACTTATTAATAATTTTTTTATCGCTCTTTTTTAATTTTTTTTTTTTTTAAAAAAATATAAAAAACTTATTTAACTTTAAAAAATAAGGGTTACATTTTAATTTTATGCATTTAATAATTTTATATTAATTTTTTTATATATTAAAATAATCTTTTAATTAATCTTTTAATTAATTTTTTAATTATTTTTTATAAATAAAGTTAAATATAATTTTTAACGTATATAATATATTTTTTAATTATATAACCGTTTTTTAATTTTTTTTAATAAGTTTTTAAAATTTATTTTTATATTATTATATTAAATTTAGTTGTTAAGTTAATTTATTAAAAGTTTTTTTTATAAAAATTAAATAATAATTAAAAGTTTTATTAAAGTTATTTAATTAATAATTTAAAAAAATTAAAAATTAATTTATACGAAGTTATTTTATTAATAATTAACTTTTTAATTATAATTAAAAAAAGGTTTATATTTACATGTTTATTATATTTTTTAAAAGGAAATAATTAAAACTTTTCGCGTTATAATGTTATTATTCCTTAATTTTTTAATTTTACCTTATAATATAATTGTTAAATTTATTATAAATTAATGTATTATTTTTTACTTGCGGTTAAATTTATATAACTTTTAATTTTTAACTTAAATAATTTTATTAAAAATATTTTATTTAATTTATAAATAAAGTTTTAATTAATTTTTAAAAAGTTAAATTAAATAATATAAGTTATATTTAATTTAAAGTATTTTTTATAAAGTTATTAAATAATAAGTTAAATATAATTATACGGTTAAAAGGTTTATATAATATACGATTTTTAATAAAATGTTTTAAATGTTTTATAATTAAAAAAAAACTTTCTTTAATAATTTACATTAGTTTAATATTTATATTATTAAAATTAAATTATTAAAAGTTTTATATTATAATTAATTTTATTAATATATATATTATTTTTATAAAGTTATAAAAATGTAAAAATTTAAGTTAATTTAAATATATTAAATAAATATTTTAATAAGTATATATTTATTAATAAAGATTATAATTAATTAAAGATTATAAGCTTAAATAAAATTAAAATAAAAAATTATATAATAACTTTATATATATAAATTAATTAAAATATAATTTAATAATGGAATTATTAATTTTTTATATATAATATATAATAATTTCTTAATTTAAATATAATATTTATAATAATTTTAAATGTAAATAATTATTAATATAAATA